AAATTCGGCAACCACGACAAGGGGGAAGAGAAAGGGGAAAGTAGGAGTAAAAGGAGAGGAAACGGAAGGGAGGACAGATCACTAGGGTACCCCGGGGCGTGACTCCCTGTGTTTACCTAAAGAAGGTAAACCCCCTCAGGGGGCCGCTGAAGAGGATTCTTCATTGTAGAACTGATACTGTGGTATGTTCGCTAATGCGTCGTTTTTTGTACTTTTTTTACTGTTTAAATATTTTCTGAACTGTGTGATGACATTTAAATATTACAATTTACAGAAAAAAGTAGCTTCGAGAGTGCAGGAAAGATTCCGGAAGAAGGAAAATGTCTCCTGCTTTTATCGTTTTTGATAACACCATAAAAGCCATATCACACTTAAAGAAATACGTCCAACTCAACGCTCAATTCAACCGCTATTTCCAACTTTTCGTCCAACTTCCTCCCAGAAAAGTTTATCTAGGGTTGCCGATCGTTGAAGAGTTGATTTACCAATCGCTCGTGCCTTCTTCCTCTTCAGGCGATTTAGCGCTTTTAGACGATTTTTTGATAAAAATTGTTTATTAACATTAGTTCGCACCATCTGCTTGCATCATCTCGCTTAGTCTTCTGTTTGCGCTTTATTCAGGTGTCGCTTTTGAATTTTCTGCAATATAATTAGAATAATGGATATTTATGCACCTATCGCTAGTTTAATTATGTATAACGTAATAAAAAAGAGAGAAGGAAATGAAAAAAAGAAAATTATGGTGTAAAGAGTGGCGATTGCGAAGAAAAGGACAAGGCTGTTATGAGAATTTATTGAGAGAACTGGCATTAGAGGTAAGTTTTTTTTTTTTTAACCTTTGATATAAAAGTTTAAAATGTATCAGTGGTTATTAGTTCTATGCTTTGTAAATTTTCAATTTTAATTCGCAATATTATTTTTCTTATTATCTAAAAATGAATTTAATCTGATATTGCCTCTTTGCCACCTTATTTAATTCTAATTATTCAAATAATTTAAATTATAATTAATAAAATTAAATTATATAATTTAATCACTTAATATGATACACATCATATTTTTAACACTGAACATTCCAATAAACAAATTCTAAAGCAAAATTTTCAAAAACATTTAGTGATTTAATTACTATTAGTTATTTTAAATCAATGTTACGACTTACTTTTTGTTTATTACATTTTAATAAATGTTCATTTGATTTCAAATTACTTTATGAAATTTGTTCTTAATTTTTCAATTAACATTAATGCATACATCTTTTTTTTCCCAACATTTTATTGAAAGTTTTTGTTTTAGAAACATATATGTTGGCTGCTTTAGGTTTTTCATAAATTGCAATTTTTTTGTTATTGTTGATCTTTTAGGATAAGGAGAGCTATAGGAGGTATTTGCGAATGGACACAGAATGTTTCCAATATTTGTTGGGAAAAGTAGAGCCCCTAATTGCCAAGAGTGATTGTTGTT